AGAATAGAAAACCAAAGTTAGTTCTTTGAAAATACCAACAAAATTGACAAATAAAAAAGAGAGAAGACAAATTAGTAAAATCAGGAATGGAAGAAGACATCACTACTAACCTTATAGAAATAAAAAGGAGTATAAGTGAATGTCATCAAAAATTACATGCCAACAAATTAGATAACTTAGGTAGTTATTTATCTTTCTTATCTCATCTTTCTTATCTTTCTGGAAGAAATTCCTAGAAAGGCACAAACTACTGAAACTGAGTCGAGAGAAAAAGAAAATCTGCTGTATCAAAAAGTCCCAAAACAATAAATGTTGGCATGGATGTGGAGAGTTAGGAACACTCATACACTGGTGGTGGGACTGCAAACTAGTACAACCTCTGTGGAAAGCAATATGAAGATACCTCAAAGAGCTACAAGTAGAACTACCATTTGATCCAGCAATCCCATTACTGGGCATCTACCCAAAAGAACAAAAGACATTCTACTAAAAAGACACCTGCACTCAAATGTTTATAGCAGCACAATTCACAATTGCAAAGATGTGGAAACAACCCAAGTGCCCATCAATACATGAGTGGATTAATAAAATGTGGTATATGTATACCATGGAGTTCTACTCAGCCACAAAAAACAAAGGTGATCTAGCACCTCTTGTATTATCCTGGATAGAGCTGGAGCCCATTCTACTAAGTGAAGTATCCCAAGAATGGAAAAAAACAAGCACCACATGTACTCACCATCAAATTGGTATTAACTTATCAACACTTAAGTGCACATATAGAAATAACATTCATCGGGTGTCAGGCAGGTATATATACATACCTAATGGGTGCAGTGTGCACTGTCTGGGGGATAGACACGTTTGAAGCTCTTACTCAGGTGGGGCAAGGGCAATATATGTAACCTAAACACTTGTACCCCTGTAATATGCTGAAATAAAAAAAAATTAGTACCAATTTAAAAAAAAGAAAAAGAGAAAAAATCTGAATAGATCTGTAACAAGTGAAGAGATTGAATTAGTGGAAAAACTACCCACAAAGAAAAGCCAATGCTGGGATGGCTTCACTGGTGAATTCTACCAATAAAGTAAGGCTTAGGAGAGAAAATACTCCCTGGGACTATTTATTTATTCATTTTTAAACAAATATTTGAGAACCTACTGTATGTTAGGTATTAGGGTTACAATATTAATGGTAGACAAGACAAAGTCCCTTCTGGCCAAGGCTTGATTTTTCATGGGGGGATTTGTAGTCAAGGCACAATTTGTGATCCACTGGCAAGGGAAGCTATTGTGAACTCACGGAGTCCTCAAAGGACTTCATGGACAGGCGGATTTGTGTGCCCTACAACTGCTTCTCTGCAGTCACCTCCATCCATGCTCACACCTCCTCTCTCCTCTCCCCTGCCCTCCTGCTCCCATCTTTTGCTCCCCTTTGTTGAAGCAGCCAGCCCTGCTATTCAGAAATGAGTACACATACCCTCTTTGCTGTTAACCACTCTACAGTCCCTAGCCATCCTCAAAGCTGTAGGACACAGGAGTGGAAAGTCTGTCCTGGGTCTGTTCTTAAAGTGTGGATCATCAAAGATCAGAAGAAGACAGGAGGTAATATTCTCCCTCATCAACCCATCCAAATCTCCAGTCTCTCCCTGGCATCTTGTGCTCCAGATGTTGAGGACAGCGTTCCCAAAATGGTGCTTGAGATGGGCTCCCTCCTACCCGTCACTGCATCTGTGGGGGCCAAGCTTCCACCAGCCTCTGCTGTAGAAAGGGCTGAGGAGCCTTAATCATCATTCGCCTGACAATCTAGTGACACTTGACACCAGAATGCCCCTGGGGTCTGGATGTTTTCTGTAAGAAACACTTGCACTGCTCTCAAAGGCCCTATAAGCTTTTTCTCATCCTTTACAACCCTCTTCCTTAGCCAGTGGAAGCTTCATTTGGGTTCGCAGTCAGTGACACTATACGAGTGTGTCTGGAATGCCCAGCTCCTCTGGGGATTAATAGTGCATGGCTGACCTGGTTGCAGGGCATGTGTCCCATATAGTCACACAGGGCCCTGAACTTAGAAAAGCCCAGTGCTTGGTTTCATGCTCTGCTGTCACCATCTTAAAAAACGTAATTTTTTTTTTTAACAAGGAGTCCATATTTTTATTTTGCACTGGGCCCTGCAAATTATGTAGCTAGACCTGCAGGGTTGCAATGTGCACCTTTGGGAGGGGCTTTTCTGTTGTGTTTCTGAGCTTGGTTGGAGTAGTGATTAATCACCTGGCTCTGGGGCCAGACGGCTGGTATTTGAATCCTGGCTTCTTTACTCCCTAGCCCTGTGATCTTAAAAGTTCTTCAACCTCTCAATTTCTTTATCTGTAAAGTGGGGGTGATGATAATAGCATGTATCTCCTAGGCTTTCTGAGAGAATAAAATACGTTAACGCATGTGAAACACGCACAATGGTGCCTGGAACATAGTAAAAATCTGTGCAAAGTTAGCGGTTTCTGTTGTGTGGTTTTTCCAAGGTCAGATTGCTCTGTATCTTTCAGCAGTGTATCTTGCTCTCGGTGGTGAATCGGGCTATTGAATTGAATTATTAATAGTTCTGTAATAGCCTCTGCTCATGAAGACTGCCGCAGACTGCTGCGAGCAGTGTGGGTGTGGAAGGTCCAAGCCCTGCCTCTGCCCTGCCATCAAGCAGAGCTTCTTGTTACCGCTCCCTTTTCCCTAAGCCCACAGACATCCACCTGCTTAAACCCAGGTTTCCCAAAGTGTGGGCCATGTTCCCCTAGACAAGAAGACTTTAGGTATCACATAGACCCAGCATCAAACAACATTAAATCTCATAGTGAGAGAGTTATGCATGTTTTATATCCTTTCAATCCACTAATTACATATGGAAGAAAGTCTCCATTCAGCATTGCTAAGTTTTTAACATCTCTCACATCCTTGCTAATTAATTTTCCCTTTTTCATAAGGAAAGGACAGGCCTGGGGCTTAGAGCCTTCAGTAATCCATGGTATCTAGTTGGAATTTTAAACACTGTTATATTCTCAACACAAATTTATTTCTAGGATTAATTTATGAATACAGAAACTCGTTTCCCATTTAAGGTAATGGTCTAAAGTTTCTGATGGGTAGCAAAATAACATGTGAGACAGTCTAAGGGTGCTTAAAAATAAGAAGATATTAGCAAAGAAACACAGGGCTATGGGCAAAAACAAAAGGGAAAGTATGAGGACAGTGGAAACCAGGTCAGGGCAGTTTAACACCAATTAGCATCAGCATCACACAACATGATTTTGATCACAGAAGCGTAATATGATTGATACACACTTGGAAGAAAGGCAACAAGCTGTAGAGAAAACTAGGGAAGAAATATGTGCAAGCAGTGTGTCCCGGGATGGCAAACAGAAGTGCAGCTTAATATAGCTCAGGGTGAGACTGTCTCTGGGGAGGTTCTCACAGGGAACCTGGGCGGAGTAAAGAGAGGGAGTAAAGGAAAGGGGTTTTGGTTTTGGCAAGCCTGTGTATTGGGGAACGTGTGGATTCTTGATGTGAGCGTGACAGTTTAGAACAGTAAGCATCCTGGTGAGTGTTCCCATTGCATCCCTGTCCTTGTGGCCGCAGTGCCACAGCCGGGACAAAGGCCGGAGCTCTGCTCCTGGTGGTCTGGACGATCTGGCCCAGAGGGAGTAACTGCAGCCCGTTGCTTTATTGTGGAGAGTGAATCGGCGAGTCAGCAGTTTCCTTTTTAGAGCTTATTCATTTAAGGTTTTTTTTGTTTTTAAAGTGAATTCGAAGAATAGAAGAATACAAGGGCGACCCGAATATGGGGGAAAGCGTGACGCTGTGTTTGTTCCCCAGCCCCATCCCATCCATTCTCTGTCCTTCTCTGTCTTGCTGTATCCTGGGCCTGTGGGGGCCGTGTCACTGTGCTTCTTGCCCGCTGGCTTCTGGCCGCGGCACTCGATGGGGACCACTGGCAGGAGAATGAGGGAAGAAGAAGAGTGAAGTCCGACACTCTGTGTTCCTGGCGCCCTCCCTGCAGGGCTGCTGCTGGCTGGCTGTGTCCCAGGACTGCCGGCCCAGAGCCTCCTGTCTCAGGTTCTGGTGCTCCCCGCACAACCCTGCCTCTCTAGGCCTAGGGTAGCAGCAGCCTCCACTGCCACTGGCCTCGGGGAACTGCACTGTCCTTCTGCTTGCCCCACGAAGATTGTAAATAGTCCTTGCATTGGCCCCTTTTGCGGGGCTGTAAAGGAATGCCTGAGGCTGGGTAATTTATAAAGAAAAGAGGTTTATTTGGCTCTTGGTTCTGCAGGCTGTACAAGAAGCGTGGCGCCAGCATCTGCTCTGGTGCAGGCTTCAGGGAGCTTCCAGTCGAGGTGGAAGCGAAGGAGGAGCAGGCATGTCACATGGTGAGAGGGGGAGCAGGAGAGGGAGGAGGAGGTGCCAAGGCTCTTCTAAAGAGCCAGCTCTCCCCATGGACTAGTACAGGAGAACTCACTCATTATCTCAGGGAGGGCACCAGGCCCTTTGTGAGGGACCCGCCTGCCCGCATGACCCAAACACCTCCCACCAGGCCCCATATTCAACACTGGGAATCAAATTTCAACATGAGATTTGGCAGGGCCAAACATCCAAGCCATATCAGTCCTTTTTATTAAATTTTCCTGAAGTTACCCAATTTGATTAACCCATCTGCTTTTTGGTGAACGAGGTTATTTACAAAGATCAAAGTTTGGGAAACACTAACCCCAAGAAAATCCATGTGTCTTCCCAAACATCTCTCTGATCCCTCAAGCTCTCCAGCCACCCAGAGGAGGCAATGGTAAGGGCTGGTGAATGGTACCATCTTCCTCCCCCACTCCCCCCGTTCCAAGGACTTCTTTTCTGTTGCTATTTTAATACAGAGAATTCAATATCTAAGGTTTTCTCCAATTCTACAGAATGTAAATCACACTTTTTTGTATATAACAGAATTCCATTCCAATAAAACAATTAAATGATTCAGATATTCCATAAAGTTTTATTTTTAAAATTTTTTTTCTGTGTGTGTGTCTATTGAATCCTAAATACAGATGCCCAAATTTATGAGGCAATTGCAGTTAAGAACGAAGAGGAAAGCTAAAATGGTATCTATGTACGATCGGCAATGGAAATCAAGTTCTGTAAAATGAATCATCTTTAGCCTCCAAGGTAGCTCGTTATGGGGAAAATAACCAAGAGTTTTGCCTTCCTCCTTAGCGGTGATGGTGTAGAAAAAGTTGCGCAGACACACACACCCTCATCACACCTCACTCAAGAAATTCCAAGGAGATGTGTCCTGCCCGGGCTTCCATCATACACAGGCTATTTTCAGGTCGTGACAAACAGTCACGCTTGCTTGTAAGTTCACTGGCTCAGGTAAGCAGACCATTTGTTTACTGAAAGAGAAGAGCAACAAGAAGGCGGTTTCTTGGTTGGTTGGGAGAGAGGAATTATGTGGTTTTCGAGTTCCCATGATATCTGGAGCAAGAAGTCTACGGTGATGTCATCTGCAATAGGAGCCAGTTCCTGTGGTTCAAGGACCCAGGGTGGTGAGATTAATAACATAAATGACTGCTAGAGGCAGGGGAAAGGGGATGTGGATTGAGATCCACACCCATGAACGTGACCTGTGACGCATTTGAAGTCGAGGCTAAGGATGAGGAAATATACTATGAGAAAACTTTGTTCCAATGAAATCTTCCATAGAAATCAAATATATAAAACAGATAAAATGGAGTTTCTTATATTGAATTAAAGCCCCCCTCCTTGGCTTCCTTCCTAACATCCTCAACCCCAGATGGAGGAGGTTCAGGAAAACCCTAGGTCCTTGTCATCTCTGTTTCTAAGACAGTAATCACCATGATGACATGAACCTCAACAAGCATCACATCTGGAGGCAGGATCGGTCCCTGGTGTGTGTGTGTTTGGAGCTGGGCTGGATACTTGGCTTACTTGTCATTGACGGGCAGAGGGGCAGTGCAGAACTTCCCAACAATGGTGGTCCGGTCTTTTTTCCAAACCCGGCTGGAAGACTGAAACTTGAGTTTCACTTGGCTTATCTGGCACTGTGGGTTGGCGTGGGCCATGACTGCTTTCCCCTGGAGTTCCTGCCTAGGTCTGCAAGGGAAAGGGAAAGGGAAAGGGAAACTGATGACTGTGGCACTCACTGCCGGAGCTCCCCCAGGGCTCTGCTGGTGGCACTGGTTGCTGTCACACCCAAGGGGTTAGCCCCTTACCACAGCCCTTTGTATCACCCGCACCAGCCCCTTCCACACACCTACAGCTTTAAATACGACCCAGAAAATAGTTGTTGATTTTCAAGAGTAAACAAGTAGACACTGCAGCAAAATAGTAGCTCTTGGCTTTTCACATCTGGAAAAAATGTCCCTCATTCTTGGATTCCCAGCTGGAGAAGATCTTCACTTTCAGATCCAATTGCCCGGAAGTAGAGTCCTCTTTTAGGACATCTCAGTTCAAAGAATTCTATGTGCGGACTATTTTGTGTTAGGCTAGATATGAATGTGCAGTGGAAACAACAAAACAGGCCTTGAAGCCAGACAGAGCTGGGTGGAGCCCGGGTTTTGGGCAAGTTACCTAACCTGGTGAGGTGGCGGTGGAGTCCCACAGCACTGGGTATAAACCCCAGCTCCCCCACACGCTGCTATGAGCTTGAACCACAGGGTTTGGCACATACCGACTTCAGCCTAGGGGCCCAGAGTGAAAACGGAACCCAGGTCTCTCTTAACCACCCTCCCGAACTCGAACTCGCCCCTCAGACTCCCCATCAGTTTGCAAGATTCAGGCAGCACTTTGGCCTGAGACAAAGATGAGGGACCGACCTAGGGGGGCACTCCACAAAGGGCTGTGGGAGCCTAGACAAAGGCAAGAAATGGTGAGAGTCAAGTGGGAGGAAAGAGACCTGCCCTTAAAGCCCCACACTGGGCACAGGCACGGCCCCCTGCAGAGCCCTGAGGGAGTTACGTGGGGGAGTGGGAAGGAGCCTCGTCTGGGCTCCTGACCCCTCCCGTCCCTCCTGGGCTCTGAGGCAGCAGGGACTGAGAAAGCAGAAGAGGAGGAGGCACTGCTTTCCCCCCCAACACCGCCACCGCACAGTGCGGCTGTGGTCTGTCCTCCCCAGGTTGGTTTCCTGTCCTTTCTGGTCTTCCCACAGTAATGACATGTCTTCTTTGTGTTCTTTTCAGCCCAGGGTTAGTCATATGCTTTGTTTTTTCCTTTTGAGGGAAGATCCTGTATAACTCTGTTTAACAGCTGTTGCTTTTTTTCCCCAGAAGTATTATGAAATATTTCAGAGGGGCCAGGCACGGTGGCTCATGCCAATACTCCTAGACTCTGGGAGGCCACGGCGGGAGGATGGCTTGAGGTCAGGAGTTGGAGACCGGCCTGAGCAAGAAGGAGACCCCATCTCTACTAAAAATAGAAAAATTAGCCGGGCATGGTGGTACATGTCTGTAGTCTCAGCTACTCAGGAGGCTGAGGCAGGAGGATCACTTGAGCCCAGGAGTTAAAGGTTGCAGTGAGCTATAATGACACCAGTGCACTCTGGCCTGGGCAACAGAGCAAGACCCTGTCTCAAAAAAAAAAAAAAAGAATCACAGGAAAAAATAAGATTGTTCCCTTTAAGTAACTGCTTAGATTGAGGAGCTTGTAATACATAAGGAATGTGAAAGACACATTAAGTGAGTAGTCTGGGGACTTGACCCAGGTAAGTTCTTCAATTAGAAGGAAATCTTGGGGTTGTCCAAAGCTATAGAAAGTAGGGAAAGACCACACATAACCTTCTCCACATTTCTCCTCCTCTCCCATCCCCACCAATTTCTGATCTGCAAAATCGAAAATCAAGGACTTGAAGATAGAAGTTAATCATGTTCTGCTGGCCTTCTTCAAAAGCCTTATGTAAAGCTCTTTTGGGAAGGGGTAGCACACATCTGTGGATGTCTGTTTGAATTGCTAGGGGAGATTTTAAAATCCTGCCCTGGAGCCTATGCCAAGGAACCCTCATGCGATTGGTCTGGAGGGGCTTGGCATCAGTACTTTTTAAAGCCCTCCCGGTGATTCTAACATGGAGCCAGGGTTGTGTGTCATTTTCATGACACTCACCAGTGTTGTCCGATGTACCAACGGGCTGGAGAGCTGATGAAAACACCCTTCTAGAAGTCACACAACTTTGCACTGATTGAGTGGGAAGCACTCAGCTTGCTGCCCACCACAATCTGCACGGCTCCCCGGGCACCTGCAGGCCAGTGTCGGGGTCCGGACAGCTGTACCCAGCTGTGTGACCCTGGGTGAGTCAGGAGGAATGCTGGCTAGTGGCAGGGTGTTTGGGAGCCGAGAGGTGCCCTCCTCCCAGCGGAAACTTGTCTTCCCTCACAGCACGGTTCATGTCCAACTCTGCAGCCTGAGAAATATTTCCCAGCCCAAATCCGATCTGGTCACTCTCCTGTTTAAAACTCCCAGTGGCTCCCCAGACTGCAGTCAGGACGAAAACCTAATCCCTAACGTGTCCTTCAGGGCCTGGTGTTGTCTGGCCCTGACTTGCCTCCCCAGCCTCCTCTCACACCACTCCCACAGCCCCGGCTCTCTGCTCCAGACACACTAAGCCCCCGCCTGGGGAGCGCCTGCAAATCCTTCCCCTTCCTGCTCATCACTTCCTCAGACTCGATCAGGCTCCATCCTATGTGCTCTCACGGCGTTGGTCGCCCTGACAAGTGAACATTTCAGTGCGTGCGCTGCTCATTTCCCTGTTGCGCTCGGTCCATTACCCTGCAGGCTCCCTTGCCAGTGGGTTCCAGGAGCTCTATTCCATGGGGGGCACATGCAGGTGGGCCACCGCTTTGGGCAGGGCTTCCAGAGGGGCTGAGCTTCCTGTGTGGTTCCAGCGCCTGCCAAGCAGCCTTCCCCGCAGCCCCAGCTCCCACTGGGCGGGCTGCAGGGCTTTGCCAGCTCCACCCAGCTCCTCCCTCTAGCCTGAGGGTGGTAGCGGGACACCTACTGTCTAATCTCTGCAATGCCTCCCCATCTCCCTTGTGGTTTTCCAGCTCTTCCAACACACTTATAATTACTTCACTGTGTTAAATTCCTTCTCTTGGACCTCCTGGCATGGGCTCTATTTTACTGACTGGACCCTGACTGAGTCGGTGACATTCTCTGATCAGTCTGTCTCCTGCTAGCTTGTGAGTAACCAACCAATTGCTTTTTCAAGAAACATCCACCATCCAGGTGCGGCGACTCACGCCTGTAATCCCAGCACTTTGGGAGGCCAAGGCAGGAGGATCACTTGTGGCCAGAAGTTTGTGACCCGCCTGAGCAACATAGCAAGACCCTGTCTCTACCTATAATAAAGGCACCACTGTTTCTGACTTCCTATCCCCTGCAGGCTTGTGGCTCCCTACAGCTGAGGTTCTTTGTCCTCTCACTTCAAGCCTCTTCCCACCAGCCCCCAGGCCCACACCTGCTCCAGCAAGGGAAGGAAATGATCAGACCCAGTTTCAGGTACTGGAACCACCCAGCATCAGGCCCTTTTGGCTGCTACTCTGGCCATTACCTTGTCCTGATTTGCTAACTGACCCTCTGCCTCCGAGTCTGTTCTGGTGACCGACCTATACTGTGCCTCCTTGCCCGGAGTGGGCGTTCCCCAGGCTCTGGCCAGCCCTCCCTGGGCTAGTGACTGAGGCCTCCTCCCTACAGACACCCTGGTTGCCCCCAGCTGGATTCCTGAGCACTGGTTCCTATCAGAGCCCTGATTCCTGTATCCTAACCACCTTTTGGGACACCCCATTACTGCTGCCTGCCTGCCTTGTCTGGTCTCGTCTGAATATACTATGCTTAGACACAGTGCTGATCCCAAATCTAGGACAGTTCCCCAGCACGTGTCTGTGGGTGGGTCTGTAGTAGGTGCTGCCCCAGCCTAGTTGGCTGCCCACCTCCCCTGTCAGTGACCACACAGGCCTGACCTGGGATGCCCACATGTGCACACGTGTAAAATGAAAAGCAACTAACTCCCAAGGAGAAGGGTCAGCCACGGGGGACACTTACGTACATGGTGATCTTGACCGGGGAGTCGACATTACTGCTAAGGAAGGTGACCTCGATGTTGGTGTCCTTGTTTCTCGGCTTCTGCAAGGAAAACTCCACGAGGCTGTGATACACTAGGAAACCAAAGCGCATCAGAGACTGGGCCAGAGGGCAGAAGGTGTGCGATGAGCAAGCACCCCCGAGAGCAGCCGTGCTGTTGGGAATCTCAGCTCTACCTCTTAGCCCTGTGCTGTGGAGCAGATGACCTATGGGCTCAGACCCTAAGTCTCCTCACGTGTAAACTGGGGGTAATAAAAACAGACACCCATAGGCCTGAATGAGATTTAAATGGGTTAATACATATAAAGTCCTCAGGACAATTCCTATGCCTAGGAAATATTCAGTGTTAGTTTTTATTACTACTTTTAATGCTACAATGTTCCACCACTCCCTGTTTAGTGACATTATCATGGTAGTGTGATCGTGAAAGAGCCAAAAAAGATCTGTCATATACTGCTATTGGTTTTTTTGTTTGTTTTGCTTTTTGTTTTTGTTTTTTTAGCCAACACAATGTCAATGTACTTTATTTTTCCCTTTTTACACATCTTCTCTACGCTTCTGCTACCCAAGAATCCCAGGCCTGGGAGTTTGTAGTCACTATCCAGCAGGTCAATTACAGACGCTAAGTATCTGTAATTTCCCTTTCTTCCTGAAAATTCAGAGAATTGAGGCTAATTTAAGAAATCTCAATTATATTCCTCATTTGCCAGTTTCAGAAGGCCTAACATGTAGCTGTCAGAAGTTTCCACTTGGGAAAGGAGCATATTCTCCGTGGCTGGAGGGATTGCCTGCTGTAGAAATCCCCTCATTGTAATTAGCACAGGTTTACTTCAGAGAGAGAATCTGTGTCTATCTACAAACATGGTATCTCTGGTTTCCTGATCAGTAGACTCGTGACTCTCCCTCAGCAGGGACCTTACAGTGCGTTTAACCTCCACGCGTTCCCCAGGCTTCCCTCCATGTGCATTCTTAGCTGCGCAGACACGGCTGAGCCAGTTCAGGTTGCTGCGACCTGCCCAGAGCTGGAAGTAGAAGCCAGGAGGTCTGGTCCCGGCGGCACTGCCTGCACCTCCAGACAGAGCACCCCCTGCAGGCTGGCTTTGATGGGGCGCTGACCAGAGAGTAGCCGAGAAACACGGCCGCAGACAGTGGGTTCTCAGGGAGCAAAGCAGTCAGCGTGGAGACAGGTGGTGGGGAAAGACTTTAGATTTGGGAGTCAGAAGACCTGCAGTCGAGTCCTGACCCTTTCACTGCCCTTACAGCCTGGGCAAGTCACTTGGTGTCTCAGGCCCTTTCCTCACTCCTCCATCTCAGTGGGTGGCCGAATGAGCCAATACAAGTGAAAAGCCCACAGTTGACTCTGTAGCCCACTTTGTTGCTAAGAGATGGCCATGAATTCTCCGTGGCAGGAAGGTAGAAACACCCCAACTGTTCTCCCAAATTCTCTGATGGACTAAGGGAAGGGAAGTATTACTTCTTGAGTTGCAGTCACCATGCTCATGACTATTTTATTTTATCCTCGCAATTGATGCTTTGAAGTAGGTACTGTTATTGTTCCTATTTTCTGCATAAGCATATAAAGGTTCAGAGAAGTTAAGTAACTTGTTCCTGATCATGCAGCTGGTAAGTGGAGAAGCTGAGACTCAAATCCAGGCTTGTGTGAGGAGAAGTCTGAGCTCTGGGCTCCACACCACACTGCATTCCGCCTTCTAGTGCCACGAAGATGTACCCACAAAGGTCCCTCCACTCACTTGACACAAGCTGATCAGAAAATCAGTTAAAATTCGCGTATCTGTATAATTTATCACTTAAACCAGCATATTTTTGTCCTGTACACACAATAAAGAGACAGGACCCCAGGATAACAAGCATAAGCCAGGAAGTATGATCACCCTAGTTAAGATGCATGTAGTGTAGGGAAGGGTGGTGGTTCGGCTTGTCATGTATTTCATGGGTTCTAAGACACAATTTTCTTTCATGTTGTTTACAATCACTGGCATCTTTGAAGAAATGCAGTGCTTAGGAGCAACAGTGAGCAGCCGGAACGTGTCTGCACAGGGGCGGAGGGCAGAGCGCAAGGCTCAGTATCCCTCTGGGACCCTGACTTAGGCAGGTTGCCAGGGCGGGAGGCATGTAGGATGGCCACGGAGGAGGGGGAGAGAAGCGTGCAGGACGAGGAGGACGGAGGGCACTCCCGAACACCGCTCAGGGGAGAACGCCCACCGGAGGGCTTATTTCAGGGGCTGGGAGGAACTAGGATCAGGACCTGGACAGTAAGACGCCCCCACGTTCTTACCTGTAGAGCGTCGGTTGGGCTCACTCTACAAGTTGTGGTTTGGACCAGGAGCTGCTGCTCCACCTCCTGTGATACCTGCACCCTCGTCCTTCACCCCACCTCAGCTACACACTGGGCTGGACACAGCGCAAGCCGGAGCCCCGGACTCTTCCAGCCGGCACACGGGCAGAGCTGAGCTCATGCATTTCCCCCCTACTCACCGCAGTATGGAGCGCTGGAAGTGGTCATGAGGTAGACTTTCACTTCCTTGGGAAGGGGCTCTATCTTTACACCACTTTCTTCCACCAGCCCTGGAAATAGAGAAGCAAAGACAGCAGAGCCCTCGGGAGGCCATTCCAGGGTCCCACAGCACCCAGCCCTGTATTTAGTAATCCGTGCACCCACTTCTTCCTCAGACATCTACACTGCATGCTCATGATGTGCCATACTCTGGAGTGAAGCCCAGGATCCCACGAACTCAGTCCAGTGGGGGATAAACCCACATGTAAACAGGAAGTACGCTCTTCAGATAATCTGGCCCATTCTTGGTAGGTAATTATATGAAATCTGAAAGTATGTCTCTGACTTGCAAAACCGATCTATGTGATGGAAGTTTTCATGGCACTTGTGTCCTGTGCAGTAGAGCACAGTGAAGCGGGAAGTGCTTGACCTGCAGACTAGTGGGTGGCGAGTGGGGAAAAGTCATCCTGGGCAGAGAGTGTGGTTAGGACAGAGGCATGTGGGGTGAGGAGACGTGACGCACACGTGGGAGCACAAGCAGTCAGCATCCCGGGCTGTTCCGAGCAAGAGAAAGTGCAGTGAGAGGTGAGGCGGGCAGACGGGGTGAGGTGGCTGTTACATCTGCGGGTCCATCGCATGGGGAAAACTCTGCGTATGCCCAGTGAGTAGGAAATACTGTTGGCTTGTTTGAATGTGGGAAGCGACCCTACTTTAACGTTTTGTCGAGCTGGTATCCATTTCATTCATGTAAGCCATGACAGGCCGCTGCAGTTCTGAGCCGCAGAGGGGAGAGTGTGGGAGGGGGAGGGACCATTTCCACTACCCAGGATTTTTTTCCTGGAGCTCTTAATCCCAGATAACCCCAGGATATTCACAGCAATGGTCTGTACAGGTGAGTTAGAGGCCAGATCCCATGGCCTTCCTGGAGTCCTTTCCTCAGACAGGCCTGGATCATCCAGGAGGGTGCCCAAGCCTCCCAGCAATGAGGCATCCCTCCGGCTGGCACGTGGCCACACAACCTCACGCCTCTAAAGCGGGTCTGTGTGCCACTCTAGGGGACTCCCCACAACACACGGGCTTAGGGTCTGCGAAGATCTGGAGAATGGCTGGCCTAGCAAGAAAGATCTATGGAAAGCATCCGCTCTGAGTGTAGGGACAGGGGCTCGGGCCATACCAATGTTTCTGGAGAGTGTCCTGAGGCTGGACTTGCAGGCGAGGCCCTGCATGTGGGACCGGGTGTGCAGAGCAGGCAGCAGTAGAGAGGGTGAGGGCTGGGGCATGAGGCCAACGCCTGCTCCCAGGAGAACAGGCTGAGCCGCTCATCGTTTCATTCTCTTTTTCCCCGGTTGGCTAGACTTCTTGACCAGAGAAGGCCAGGACATTAAGAGGTGACAACTGGCAGGACTTGAACTTTTCCCAGATGTCAAAGAAAGCCAAAGGGATGAGATTTTACCTATCCTCGGACAGGAAAGCAGAAAAGGGTTACAGCAATCCAGACATTGTCCAGCAAGGAAGGCCCTGTAGCTGGCACAGGGAAAGGCCATCAGTGGGCAGGAATTCTCCAGGGCACTGATGTAGAGATGCACAGCCCGCATGTGATCACAGATCAGATAACTGTAACCTGAGCAGAGAAAAAACCACAACCAGGGTTTCAGTCAAGACTAAAGGAAAGTCCCTCCACGCTACTTACTGGAAGGCTATTGAATTTTATATTTATGCAAGATATAAATAAACAGGATGTTCCCTGAGCCACATTTTTAAAACATGAATGACATGGTTCCTGCATTGCCCCTTTTCCTTTTAATTTTCCTGCAGCACATAAGCTTAATCTATCAAGTAAATTGCTCAGTTTGAGGCCCATTCTTACATGGTCATGCAAACCCTCTTTCATAGAATGACAGGAGTGTGCAGAGAGTTGGAGTGGCTGACTCCACTGCAAGATGGATATCGGTACATATTTTTACCGTCATTGTCACACATACACGCTTATTATACCCAACCCAGCAATGAGACCACCAAGGGACTCAGCAGCAGTTCACAGCCAGTCTCTAAATCCAATGTGCTGAGGCTCACCTGGCCTCAGGTGAATGACTGACACACTGAATTTGCCAAATATCCTAATTTACCAAAAACTTGGTTTGTTGCTATTGTTGCTTACTATTTAAGTTTGCAGCAACCCACCTTGGATGAATTGACTGGCGCTAAGAAGTATGTAGTGAGACATAACTCCAGGGCTCTGGAGTCTGCAGACTCACCCTGCACCTTGGGACCCCCTCTCTGGGCCCTGCAATTGAGGCTGAGCTGTTGACTTTCTTGTCCCCTGTGGTTGGGACACTCTCCATGAATAAGCTCCTTCCAGGGAGCTGGGGCAGAGACAAACTAAACTCTTCTCAAATTGTGTTATGAAGAAAAAACAAAAAGTAGTCAATGAAAATGCCACCAAAATTTTCAAAAGCCATTGCAAGTAAACTATCCCATTTGGTCAGAATTGCTGGAAAATTTATAGGTTATTACAAGAGGCGTGTTTTTGGAAAACTTGTAAATTTGGTAAAATAGATTCATGTTTATTTAACAAAATTGTCAAAACAATCCTTAAAATGTTCAAAATTTGGTAAAGCAAGAAAAGACTAAAAACATATTTATAATAAATGGAGGCCAGGTGCCGTGGCTCATGCCTGTAATCCTAATAATTTGAGAGGCCAAGGCAGGAGGATTGCTTGAGATCAGGAGTTTGTGACCAGCCTGGGCAACACAGCAAGACCCTGGCTCTACAAAAAAATAAAAAATAAAATTAGCTGAGCATGATGGCATGTGCCTGTAGTCTCAGCTACGTGGGAGGCTGAGACAGAAGGATCTCTTGAGCCCATGTGTTCAAGGTTGCAGTAAGCAATGATTGCACCACTGCACTCTTAGCCTGACAGAGTGAGACCTGGTGTCAAAAAAAAAAAAAAAAAAAGCCATAGTAAACAGATCAGCATTTTCAACTCTCACATGAAATGCTGATACATTGTCTATATTCATAAGAAGAATATAAGGAAACTAAATGATAATTGATGCTTAGCTTTTGACAAATTCAATATTATTTAAGATAATGTTAAGAAGAACATATTCAATTAACATATTCAAAAATAACATTCCAGAAGAATATATTTAGAAGAGTAGAAATGTACATTCATTCAATGTGTTCAAAAAATTGTCTTCGCCAGATGTGGTGGGGTGTGCCTGTAGTCCTAGCTACTTGGGAGGCTGAGGCAGGAAGAGCCCTTGAGCCCAGGTGTACAAGGCCAGCCTGGACAACATAGCAAGACCCCATCTCTAACAAAAAGAAGAACTAAATTAAAAAACATTTTTTAGGCCGGGCGCGGTGGCTCATGCCTGTAATCCTAGCTCTCTGGGAGGCCGAGGCGGGTGGATTGTTTGAGCTCAGGAGCTCAAGACCAGCCTGAGCAAGAGCGAGACCCCGTCTCTACTAAAAAAATAGAAAGAAATTAATCGGACAACTAAAAATACATAGAAAAAATTAGCCGGGCATGGTGGCACATGCCTGTAGTCCCAGCTACTCGGGAGGCTGAGGCAGAAGGATCGCTTGAGCCCAGGAGTTTGAGGTTGCTGTGAGCTAGGCTGACGCCACGGCACTCACTCTTGGGCAACAGAGTGAGGACACTCCTTTCAAAAAAAAAAAACAAAAAGCATTTTTTAAAGATTATCTTGAAAACAATTTTACAGAAGTGTTAGATTTAGTAAAGTTGGTGAAATTATCATGCAATGAATTGATCTTTCAGCTAGCTAGCTTTGGGCACATTGGCTCGATTCTGCCACAGCTAGGCTCTACAGAGGATGCAGCTGCTATGGACTGTGTCACAAACCAGGGTCCAGGGAAAAATAGAGGTTATTGGCTTCAATAACCTCTATGCTAGATCACAGCATTCTAGCTCGGTGACAGAGTGAGACCCTATCTTGAAAACAAACAAAAAATAATAATAGTAAACAGAGATCAGCATTTTAAATTTTCATGTAAAATGCTGATATCTTGGCTATATTCATAGGAAGAATATAAGAAAACTAAACAATCTGCTCTTAGCTGGACGTGGCTTACTTAATCCATTCAGTATGTGCTGAATAAGGCATTGTGGGACACGGCAAAGGACGCCATCAGGAGGACGCTCTGTGGCCCACACTGGCTGACTCAACGCGAAGGCTGCTGGTGAATTCCAATCTCTGGGGCAGCCAAACACCAACTCCCTCTGGCTTTCTCACCTGAGTAAATGGACGTGGGACAGCCAGGTTGGTCCTGGCCTCCGTTGACAAAGTAGTCCACGTGTCCGACGGGAATCCGGATACCCAAATCTGGAAGGAGGCAGAGCTCCATTAACTTCCTTGTTTCAGGGGGATATTTTCCAGGTCCCACATAAGGGCTGACTGGCAGCAGAGCCCACCTCACCCCGAAGTGCTGAGACTTTGCAGCACAAGCCCACTGACGGTTTTCTAAATGGGGTTTTCCATGCCGAAAGGAACCAAAGAAGAATCAATTTATAAAACACTCATATTTGCCTAAACTTTTTTTTTTAAAATCCCTTTACACGAGTTTTTATAAATCAGTAAATATTTTAAACTTGGTCAATATCATCATTGAATAGTTTCTGTTTTCCTTTGAGGAATAGCTTGGATAAATATGTTTGGGACCACATTTCTAGTCTCCCACAAAATATGTTTTTGTGCTCTCCTAAGTGGAAATACGATGTAGCCCAAGAGCTGAGTTTAAGGGAGAGGCTGCAGCCTCGTCTCATCCTTGTGACCACGTCCCTGAGCCTCCATCTCAGCTCATCTGACCCCTCAGACTGGGTCAGGCCCAAGTGCCAGAGACCCCGATTGTCTCCGTCATATCGTCTCTCGCTACGTAAGACATTGGCTGTGTGTTATCTGTTTAATGTCATCTACCCAGGGGTTAAGCCATGACCTAGAAACTGTCCTGGAGTCCTGCCTTTCCCTTCCCCCCTGCCCACATGCTGCCTGCCACACATCCCGTCAGACCTACCCCCAACATATATTTCTCTCCATCTTTACTGCCACATCCTTGCCCAAGGACCATGATCTCTCACCCAGACCACGGCTGCAACCACCCTCTAAGGGCCTCCGGGCTTCCCCTCGTGCCACCTGGGGTGCACTCTCGGCAGAGGAGCCACAGCCACGGCCCTGAGCTCACTGGCACCCTCGCCAGGGCTGGCCTGGACTGGCTCCCTCTTCTCCAGCCTCACTCCGTACCTCTGCCTCCCCCACTGCACTCTAGCCACACGCGGGGTCCTCTCCTGTCTCTCGACAAGCAGCATCCTCTCCCACGTCCAGGCCTTCACTTTGGCTGCCCTCCCCTCCTAGAATGCTCTTCTCCCAGCTCCTCCCAGAGCTGACTCCCTCTCATACGCTAGGTCTCACCTCCCTGGACAGACTTTCCCCAGTAATCCTGTTTGCAGTAGACCCTCCTCAAGTCGTCCTCTCTCACATCTCCTTCACTATAATAATCACAGTGTATAACTATCCTGTCTGTTTCCTTGGACAGCTCCACCCCTGCAGGGCCTTTGCCTGCCTTTTTTTCTGCTGCATCCTCAATACCTAGCGCAGTGCCCGGCACACAGTGAGTGCCTAATAAATATTACTGAATGAAGAGATGAGTGAGTGCCTGCCCACACAGCCGGTAGGCTCCACATGGGCAGAGACCTTATTCGATGTCTTGTTCGTTGCAGCGTTCTTGGCGCATGCTACATAGTTCAATAAATACCGATTAAATAATAGAATAATTTTTTTTTAGTCATATCGGGAAGAGGCTCCTACTTTGAAGGGGCCTCAGAGGCCTAGCTCAGATGAATGGTGAGCAAATAAGTCATCTATTTAGCAAATTTGGGAAAAGAAAAGATTCACTTTATTAATTAGCAAGGTTAATTAATGAAACATGGCTAGGCAGGCCTGTGGGCTTTGGTTTCCCATTGGTGAAATGAAGGTGGGAAAGAGGTTGGACAGTATGACTTGCATTGGTTTCTTCCAGAATCACGAATCTGTGGATCTTGGTTGCTAAAAGGAGACGTCTGACCAAAGGGAATGAGACTTGGACATCTCTCCCTTGAACTGCAACCTCCTCCTGCCAGGGACTGAAGTCATTGCTCCTTGCACCACCACGCTGAGCACCGTGCCTGGCACAGACTCCATGGGCATTTGGTATGGAGTAGAGAGAACGAGAATGCCCACTGCCTTTCCCGGTTGGTCAGAGGAGTGTAGTTTGATCATAATGGATTGAGAGTTGGGGGGGTCTTTCCTGTGTCGGTCCCTATTGGAAGGGGATTCCCATTCTACACTGGACTGAAGAGCTGGGCTTGTCCTCTGGGGAGGAGGGATGTCCTGACAGGCCTCTGCGCCTGGGCAGTGGAATGGCCCAGCCCCCTGGGGCCAGGCGCACCCATCTGAAAAAGCAGCGTGACTTTCCCATAAGTCAGCCAGGCAGCCATGTTCTCCCCAGTACAAGGTTTAGAGCTGAATCAGAAGTAAGACTCCCAACCAAACATTTTCAGTGTATGAGGGAGAGTCCTCTTGCCTTTAGGTGGCTGAAAATAAATCCATCCTCTTCAGCGGTCACAGAATGACAGAGGTGGAAGAGACTTGCAATATCACGCTGGTAAACTCCTCACCGAACAACAGAAAGTCAGAGAGGGGCAGGCACCTCTGCCCAGGGCCACACAGCAGGATGCCAGCCTCCACGCCCCCACCTCCGCCCGCGCTCATTCCCTCACGCCAGGAAGGTCACCCCAGCTCACTGTCGGTATCTGTGTGGATGGCTTCCACAAAGCGGGCATCTCCAGGATCCAAGCGCTCCTCCAGGCTGGCCCTGGTGTACTCGGGTCCAGCGGGGTCCAGGCCTGCGAGTACAGACTGATGTCAGGGGCCCCTTTCCTCTCAGCTACAGGAACACTGATGGTTCCACCACAAACCTACCCTGGCAGCCCTTCCAGTTCAGGTCATAGAATCTTCTGACAAGGACCCCAGGGTTGGGAGAACTAGCTCAGGACCAACTAACCCAGGAAACCCCACTCTTATCTCTCCAGAGGTAACCTCTCATTGACTCAGTTTGTTTCTCTGGCTCTAAAATGAGCCTGATAACACCAAATGAGGTAAGAGTTAATGTAAGTAATATTTTATTTTATTTTAGAGACAGGTTCTTGCTCTGTCACCAAGGCGAGTGTGCAGTGGCATGATCGTAGCTTACTGCAACCTCGAACTCCTAGCCTCAAGCAATCCTGCCACCTCAGCCTCCCAAATAGGTGGGACTATAGGCATGCGCCCCTGAACTCAGCAATAGCTACAATTTTTCTGAGTGGTTACTGCGTGCCAGGCTTTGTGCTGGACAGTTTTCTAGACTCTAGTCCTCACAGCAACACAGTGAAGTAGATACTACTATTCCCATGTCTTGGTTTGGATCCCTTTCCTCCTTCCCCCAGAGAAAAGGCAGATCCGGCCACAAGGATTCAAAGTATCAGTAGCTTATCTGGGAGAAGGTGACAGAAAGCATGGTGAGGGAGTGGGAAAACAAGTCAGAGAATGAGCAAAATGTCGAGTAACTGCACTGTGGGCACCTGAGTCTCATCCCACCGGGGCCCTTCTGACGATTCTGTAGACATGACTCAGAATTGTCCATGGAGGGCCCAGGAAGCTCGGATGTTTCTCGTGCAACTCTCCTCCCTTATTGACTGAGGGTGGATCTGGAAGCGTAAAGTCCTCCACACTTCCGCAGGTGCTTAACAAAACTGTCGAAAGGTGATTTCCACAGTGGGGCCAGGGAGGTATGTGCTGTTACAACCCATTTTATAGATGTAGAAACTGAGGCTCAGAAGGAAATACATGGCCTCTCACACGGATATTAGAGATCGTGCAATACCAATACAATACCATTTTGTGCAAAAGGACCACAAATTTTAGTGGTAAAAGATGACTTGATCTTGAAAACAAAGGGTCAACACTTCCTTTCACTCCCTCAGAAGAGGCATTTCCAGGGTGATCTCTGTATCTCTAAACCCTGAGAGGATGGGCAGGGAGAAACATTACCTGTGATTCGTCCCAACTGGCCTTTGTAGAAATGTCCCACCATGCCCCCAACGTGGGCCCCCAGGCTAACACCAATGATGTGGATCGAGGACTCCGACACACCCAGCGCCTAGGACAGGCATGGACAGTGAGTTACATGTCAGCCACAGCCGCTGCTGGCTTCACAGTGACACACTTATCCCCAAGGCTTCAGAAGCCAAGGGCCCTGGGCATGACACACTGGCCACATGTGCTTCTGGAAAAAAGGGCAGAGCTGTCATTGTTAATCACTTCCTCTCTTCCTAGGCTCCTCACCCTGACAGCTTTCCTTTGTGTGTGAGTAAGGATCACAGCCATTCCCTCTTGAGGGGTGACTAAATGCCAGGCCATCTGCGCTCGCTGTGTTATGTGCACATTTTGCAGAGAAGCAGCCGAAGGCTCAGCGGTCCAATGATCTACCCAAGGTCGGTACTCTAGGTGACAAAGTCAAGACTTGAACCCAAGACCAACGGGCCACTGTGTGGCTCAGCTTCCACCCTGAGCCTCCTTGTGTGGTGCTTTTTGCTGTCTTTTTGCTTCTCTCCTCCGTAAGCAAACACAACTCACCATAAACTCTTTTGCACCTACCAGAAGTTTCCTGAGGAAACGGGAGATCTCCAGGCTCAGCTTAACCACATTCTCCACAGCTGAGAAGTAGATCCCCGTAGACCCGTACACCCAGTCCACAGCAATCACGTTGACATCTGCTGCACGCAGAAGGGCTCTAACAAATTTGTCAACCCAGGAAGGCTTTGTTCCTAAAACCCTGGATGTGGGGCCAAAAAAGGATAGGAAAATTACCTCCAAGATGTTATCCATTGTCCTGAAAACCTCTAGTATCTCAAACCCAGAAAAGAAGTCAAAACTAAGGGAGGGAGGATGTGAGGAATAAATCACACAGCACTCTGAGCACAGGGAGGACAAAATTCCAAAGTTGCCAGACCTTCCACCAGCACATGTGGAGCCTTTGTGCAAATTATAAAAAGGTGCCTTTTGTTCCAGGTAGATGCAGCCTGATGCCAGGGTTCAGAACGCAGGCTGGATTTCAGCCCCACCAGCCTTCAGTCAGGCATCTTTGTGCAATGCATAAACTCTGAAAACTACAGACACTGCACTGCCCCGTTTGTGTTATGCATGGAAAAGAAAAGATAGCTTTGTACCTTAGAGTTAATGTGTGCAACCTTAATTCTCATTCTAGAATATAGGCTCTTTCCTTGTGCATATTAATTCATTCATTTTTTCTTTCTTTCACTCACCCATTCATTCATTCAACAAACAATTATTGAGTACCTGTGGGCCAGGCAGTATGCTAGGTGCTTTCCAAAAAATAAAGACAAATAAGATAGAGTCCTTATCCTTCTGGAACTTACAGTGTAATAGGACTTCTCTAGGAAAAGAAGAATGATAGAAAATTTTTTTTAGAAATCTCTCCCAACAGGTTAGGATCAGGAAAGACGGCTTTTTCACAGCCCCCAGTAGAGAAGCAACGAGAGCACGCTTGCGTGGATGGAGGAGTACACCCTGGGTGTGCACCAGGCATTGGGGTCGGGGAGATTCAGGAACAGGCAGAGCACCCAGCCCAACGAGCTCTCTAGCTCTGTTAGCCAGCCCTGGGTTAAAGGCACACACTCAGCCTTGGATAGCGGCTGAATGTAAGGTTTGCTAGAGGAGAGATTTTAAGAACAAGGTGAGATGCCTAAGGAAGTAAGTGGCTGGGTCCCTGGAGTCCATGGATCTGAGAGGCAGAGTGAGGCCAGGGCTCAGGAAATGGAGATCCTCCATGTGCTGCCTTTGTGCCTACCTCTTCATCCGATGCCCCTAAATCTACTTGCTCCATTGTGCTACCATTTTACCATACTCGTTCCCTCTTTCCTCCCGGAAACCTTCTTCTGTTTCCAACCTTGTCAGGGAGCTTTGGAGAAAAACGTTGGAAGGAAGGATGGCGATTGAATTGAGACTCAGTGACAATATATTGCAACAAAATGTGGACTGCAGGGCATCAGAGAAATTGCAAAAGAGAAGTGCCTAGCTCCTGAGAAACAGTTTCATAAATCATGAAATCAAGGAAGAAGTGAAGAAGAGGAAATAAAACCGTGGGTAAAAGCATCATGCTGTTATCTCTGAGCAACTGCAAAAAGCCTCTGATCTCATTGTCTGAGATGAATCATGTCATGCAATCCATACTTCAGGGAAAAGAAGACCACTGAGACCAACCCTGCAACCTCCCCTCGAATTCAGATATGGAAACCGAGCCTCTGTGTATGGAGTGGCGTGTCCAGACATATATACTGTCTGTGAATGTGTAGACAAGACTGGGTGGAGGGGTAATGTATATGACCAACAAGAATAAGCAACATAACGTGTGTGCATGTTGACATGAGACCTCTTCAAAGAAAGCAGGATGTGGGTGAGGGAACATGTAATCATCAGTAAAGCCATTCCTCCTCTTGCTCCTCACTAACTTCTTATGGCATTATGGTCACTTGATAGTTCTCAGCTGAGAGATTCTATTGGTTGGTTGGTTAGCGCCCACCTGAATCCGTGAATAATTAGTTTGGTTCCCAGAGTGGCATTGAACCCAGAGTTTTGGATGTCACTACTTTCTTCCACTAGCTGCCCACAGCTAGGATCCGAAGGGGTAAAGAGGAGAAACCGGACATTGAGATGGGTGCCTTGAAGGAGCCTGGCGTTCTGGAAGTCAGTGCAGTTGGGCTGTGGGGTATGAGGTGCATCCCCTGGAGGAAAACAAAACAAAAGAAGAAGCATCCAAAATGAGGTCATCTGTTCTTACAAGGAAGAAAGAAACAGGGGCTTACAGGCATGGGGTTTATCATCAATAAGCTAGGGCAATAATCACTCACTCATTTATTAAAGGTTGTGTCCTTTCTGTAATCAAAACCTGTGAATATTTTTCATGGCTAATGATAAAAAATACCAGAGAATATGAATGCTGCTCAACTAGAGGAGAGAGATTAAATGTCATGGTGAAATGGCTATTGTTATGAGCTGAATTGAGTTTCACCTCCCAAATTTCATATGTTGAAGTCCTAACCCCTAATACCCCAGAATGTGACCGTATTTGGAGATAGGGTCTTTACAAAGGTAATTAAAGTAAAATGATGCTGCCAGAGTGGGCCTTAATCCAATATGACTGGTGTCCTCACAAGAAGAAGAAATGTGGACACAGCCAGAGGGAAGATGATGTGAAGACACAGGGAGAAGACAGCTCTTACAGATAGCCAAGGAGAGAGGCCGGGAGCAGATCCTTCCTTCATGGCCCTCAGAAAGAACCGACACTGCGGACACCTTGATTTCAGACTTCCAGCCTCCGTGACTGTGAGCCAATACATTGCCATTGTTTAAACCACCCATCCTGTGGCACTTTGTCAAGGCAGCCCCAGAAAACTAACAGAGACTTCTAAAAGGAACCCTGGGCATCCAGATGGGCAGTCACTTTGGGAACCAGGCTCGCCCTGGTCTGAACACTGCATCCCAGAAGGATTTCAAACCCCCTGCTCCAACCTAATTGCTTCTTGTCCTCACGAGTTGTCCAGAGCCAGGCCATAGCCTTCCAGTGCCCAGCCCTTGGAGAAGAGCTTAACAAGCGACACCTACTCTACAGCTCCTTATAATAGATACCTTTAAACTTGATATTTTCTGGCCAAGGTCCTTGAAGGGCCTTTTAAAATATTGAACACAAAAGACAGCATGAAACTCCTGCTTCCCAGGGAGCTGAAAATCTGGCCCGTCTTTAATACCCAGTATCCTTCCCCCACGTCCACTTCTGTGATGAAGACGCGTGGTCCCTGACTCCCGCACATCCCACAGGGAGACAGGCAGGAGCAGCACGGCCCGCTGACCCGCAGCATACAGCCCAGCTGTGGTGCTGTTGGCAGCTACCAAGCATTACTGCCACAGGATGAAGAAATTCACAGAATCAGCTGTTCAGAGGAAAGGTCCAGATTGAAGACTTTGGTTTGTGTGGGCCCTTTGCCAAGGAAGACAGCAACTTTAGGTTTCTGGAGAGATTGTTTGCCATCAGAGGTAATGGGCCTCGGATGCTCTGGGCTATGGTGCTATATGAGTAAATGGTGGGAACCCCACCCTTGCAGAATACCTCCTGCAGCAAGGCCTTCCAGAGCAGCACTGAGGTTTCCCCATCACCACTTCTGAGTCCCAGACCTCATCTCCAGTCCCCATGCCGAGCTCTTCTGAGCTGCCAGGTCTTGGACACTCCTGAGATCAAGCCCTCTAAGAGTGCAGCCCGCAGTACATGGGAGACAAAGATGCCTGAGTCTACTACCGTATCTGCCTTCCCCAGCCTTTGGCTATTTAAAGAAAGAATGAAAGGACTCTGCTTGAGCATGAGATTTGAACCACGTTATTAATAAATCGGCTCTGTTGGTCCTATAGGGAACCCTAGATGTATCAAACAGAGAATTAAGAGTCCTTTTAAATGAGCATAATATATCACAAGCTATCTCAGATAATCATCAAAGAATCAAAATCATCCAGACCACATTATCTAAATAAAATGTAATAAAATTAGAAACCACTAACAAGGCTGGGCACAGTGTCTCATGCCTATAATCCCAGCACTTTGGGAAGCTGAGGTGGGAGGATCGCTTGAGGCTAGTAGTTTGAGACCAGCATGGGCAACATAGTGAGATCCCACATCTACAAAGAATTAGCCAAGTGTGGTGGCGCATGCCTGTAGTCCCAGCTACTCAGGAGGCTGAGGCGGGAGGATCACGTCAGCCCAGGAGTTTGAGGTTGCAGTGGGTATGATCGCACCACTGCGATCACTCCAGCCTGGGTGACAGAGTGAGATCCTGTCTCAAAAAAAAAGGAAAAAAAAATCAATAAAAAAAGGTCTTTTAAAATACATTTGGAGATGTAAAACCACCCTTTTAAGCAATGAATGAGTTACAGGATAATCACAATGGAACTAGAGAATATTAAAAACTAAATGACAATAAAATGAGTACATATCATAACTTGCAAAGAATGGCTAAAACAGCACTTAGAGGCATTAAGATAATGAATTGGGAGGCCATTAGACTGAGGCAGCTCTAGTGCTTGAGTTCCTAGAGAAGCTTAACTAAACCCCAACTCATGGTGAACAGTTGTACCCTAGGAAAAGGAAACTTAAGGTTTACCAGTCAGAAGCGCCAAGCAACCTCTCACTAGGGGCCTTAGGCTATTGCTCCATTGAGTGAATGACTGATTGATTGAGGCAGGGTGTTGCTCTGTCACCCAGGCTAGAGTGTAGCGGCACAATCATTGCTCACTATAGCCTCTAACTCCCGGCTCAAAAGATCCTCCCACCTCAGCCTCCCTAAGTGCTGGGACTACAGGCGTGAGCCACCACACCCAGCCTACTGCTCCACTTTAACCCATCAAATATCTTCTTTGTCTTGCTCCACATGCGCCTTGTAAAATGTTCTCCTCATGCCACTTTGGTGGAGTCCTGAGAAACTTGCAGTCTGGAGATGCCCAATTCATGCATCACTGTTTGCTAACCAAAAAAAAACCTCTTTAAAATCTTAATACATAATCTTACACACAAACGTTAGTGGGAAAATGGGAAACATTTAGATTAGGTAAATTAATCTCTTAACTCAGAAAAGAACACCACAGCAACTCCAGATAAAGTACAGGGAAAGAAATATAAAGATAATAGTTGAAACTAAAGGAACAGAAAACAATGAAATATGAACAACGTTGTTAGCAACTCAGTCATTGTAGTTTCTCCGGCCAAACTTGCTAGAGACGTCTTTGAGTCTTCCCTTTCCCTCACATCCCACATATAAATGGTAAGTGAGTCCTGTTGGCTTGACCATCAGAATAAAATATTCAGAATCCAGCCCTTCTAACTACCCACGCTGTTATCACCTTGATCCCAGCCACCATTATCTCCCAAAATTACTGCCCTACCCCATAACTGCTTTTCCCGTCCTCACTCTTGGCCCCTTCAGTCTATTTGCAACACAGTAACCAGATTTATCTTTTTAAAAAGTAAATCATATCACATCTCTGTGCAAAAGTCGCCAAGGATTTTCATTCAGATTAAAATCTGAAGTCCTAACAATGACTACAAGGCCCTCTGTGATCTGATCAGCCTGCTCTGAGAGCCCTTTGTCTTATCAATCAATCGCTCACTCTGTTCCAGCCAGGAGTCTTCCTTGCTCTCCCTCCGCCAGGACAGGTTCCTGGGGAGGTCTTTGCACTGGCTGTGCCTTCTGCCTGGAATGTGTTTCATTCAGGTACCTACATGGCTCATTCCCTTTTCCTCTCAAGTCTTTACTTGTCATATGCCACCTTTGCTGCTCTAACAGTCCTATTTCAATTGTAACCTGCTTATGCCCCTCACTTCATTTCTCTCAATCTTCCTGACACTGATCAATTTATTTGTTTAGCAATCATCCCCTTCTAATCTACTATGGAATTTACTAATTGATTATACTCATTGTTCATTGACTGTCTGCCCCATTAGAATGTACTTTCTGGCCGGGCGCGGTGGCTCACGCCTGTAATCCTAGCTCTCTGGGAGGCCGAGGTGGGCGGATTGTTTGAGCTCAGGAGTTCGAAACCAGCCTGAGCAAGAGCGAGACCCCGTCTCTACTAAAAATAGAAAGAAATTAATTGGACAACTAAAAATACATAGAAAAAATTAGCCGGGCATGGTGGCATGTGCCTGTAGTCCCAGCTACTCGGGAGGCTGAGGCAGGAGGATTGCTTGAGCCCAGGAGTTTGAGGTTGCTGTGAGCTAGGATGACGCCACGGCACTCTAACCTGAGCAACACAGTGAGACTCTGTAAAAAAAAAAAAAAAAAAAAAAAAGAATGTACTTTCCTACAAGGCAGGGATTTTTATCTATTTTGTTCAATCTGCTGCCTAGAATAGTACCTCCCAATACAACAAATCCCAAAAGCTGGTCCATTGAAAAGAATAATGAACTAGATGTGCTTTTGATAAGGCAGAGTAAGGAAAAAAGAGGGAGGTCACAAGTAAAGAGTAAAAAGGGGATATAAATACAGACACAGTAGATTTTTTAAACCATAAAAGAACATGTTTATACCCACCCAAATGTTGAAAATATGAATATTTTTCTAGAAAATGGATAATTTCCTAGAAAAATAGAACTTACCAAAACTTACTCAAGAAAAAAAACCAGAAAATCAAATATAAAACTGTAGCATAAAGGAGTTGAAACAGTAGTTTTAAATCTATCTGTCAAAAAGCTCTAATAGGCAAGACAGTTTTCCAGGGAGTTCTACAAATCCTGAAGTCCTTATTGTATATATATTGTTCCAGGCAATACAAATAGGAGGGAGACAGATTCCCAACTGTGAGAATAACCAAAATATCAAAACTGGACAAAGAGGAGAAAGAAAATCTAAAGACCACTTTCACTTCTAAACATAGACACAAAAAGTCCTAGATAAAAGTTCAGCAAATCTAAATTCATCAAGGATAACAAGAACAAAAAGTACATCATGGACCAGGTACAATGGCTCAGGCCTGTTATCCTAACACTCTGGGAGACCAACACAGGAGGATCACTTGAGGTCAGGAGTTCGAGATCAGCCTGAGCAAGAGTGAGACCTGTCTCTACAAAAAAATAGAAAAAAATTAGCCAGGCGTGGTGGTATGCACCTATAGTCCCAGCTACTCAGGAGGCTGAGGTAGGTGGGTTGCTTGAGCCCGGAGTTTGCGGCTGTAGTGAGCTATG